ATATAATTTCTTTTATAAAGGAGTTAATGTGCTGAGAATGAATCCACATCAATTGTTATGAATCGTTCACCATGTAATTCGTAAGAATTAATGTGGATCCGGTTTGAGCTCATTAGCTCTTGAATAAAGGAGATTGTAGGAAGAGTATCGATCCAAAATTTATGTTCCAGATTATTAGCGTACACAATGGACAAGTGTGTAGAGGTCCACCTGGCATCATAGCATTAGGCGCAGTCTTAGGTAACCAACTAGGTCGTTAATAGTATCGTCTCAGCTTACAGACAAAGCTATTACAACTAACACCAAACGTAATATGATCCAGAAACAAAATCTAGCATGTGTATACCGAGGTTTAGCATAATGGTGGCTCCATGCCATAACGTGTCCCCTATAACTTTCGCTATATACAATCTATGTCAATTCTATTATCGTTATACACAATAGTAGTTCGACTCATATAAGCATGTGTTTTTTCGGAGGAGCGCATGTCATCTTTAGAAAAAAATTATAAGAAATTGAAAGAATGATGGTTAAAAAAATTATATCATTCTTTTAAGATATCGTATGTTCTTGACATTTGGGTTACCAAATACGATGTAATGTAGATTATTAAGTATTAGAACAATTATTATGGACTTTCAAAGAATTTTTCTTTTAATTCTTTATATATTTTTTAAAAAAATAAGTGATAAAAGATGAGATTTGATTTTAGAATCTTACGATATACTGTCAAAATCTTTATCAGTTTAAGTTAATTAATTGATACATTTTTTTTCTATATTTATTATAAAAAAAATCTAATAGTATATTTTTATTTATGCCTCTCACTAACAATTTGACCTTTTAATGCTAATCCTCCAACCTATTGACGGTTGTATCTGCCGCCTTGTGCAAACCCATCTATGGAATCACTAGTGATGCAGAATTAATCCGACAGAATGTTGCCAGAGGAAGATATAGTTTACCAAACAAGCAAAATAGTAATAATTGTTACATTTACTATGACGACACTGAACAAATACCAGCATATTTCAGCTTCAGCTGATGACATTTATTGGAGACACTGATTCAGTAAATTATATTTACTGACACTACTGCCCATACAAACTAGATATTTTTACAAAAGATTATCTATTAGGAAAAGAAGAGCCTTCGGAAGAGGGTCCAATGCCAATAAAACATAAGGAAAATTATTCATCTAGAGGTATCCATTCCAGTTCTACTTCGATTTCTCCAGACTCGACATTTTGCAACTGTAGAGAGACCTCTTGTTTTACCTTTCCATCAACAATGTTGATGATGCTGTCACTAATAAGTGCATTGTCGCTTGTTTTTAACCACTTCCCGATCTGCATGTTTCCAAGAAGCTCAGGATCCCCAAAAGCCATGGCAGATGTGATCATAGGCTGGAGATCAACCTCAGCTTCACCCATTATATCGTCGGCAGAAAATACATCTTGATCATATACTTGCTGTTTGAAGAAGAAAGGAAGAGGAAGTTAGGGATCATGATTTATGGGAGTAACTGCATGTGCTTGTAACAGAAGAAATTTAATTTTCTTTTCTTTGCTTGGCTTACTCAGATCAACAAGCATTTGATACAAACAGACAAAAACAATTACAATGAACAAAAAATGTTCCTTGCCTTGGATGAGTAATAAAAAATGTTCCTTCCGAAGAACAAAAAAGTTACATAAACTAGTCATTCAGTGAGTAAAATTAAAATATGATGTAAACGATGTGATAAAGAAAGAAATATCTATCGATCAAACATATTCAAACTAACCAGTTTCAAAGCGCCATATGTTTGAGGAACTGACAGCGTAAGCTCTTCGTTCCATATTGGATTTAAGTCGCTCGGTTTTACTGTTGTCTGGGCCTTCTGAAGCAAATCCCATGTCAAATTAACATTTGGGAAAGAAACATCAAAACCAATTTAATATCGAGGCAGTTACCATAAATATATCAGATTAAATGCCCAAGGATTTCAGCTAAAAATGGATAACTCGCCTGCTCTCCAAGAGTCAAGACAACATATGGATCACTGCTAAACATATCTCTAACAGCTAAATTTGAGCCTCTTACAACCTTGACCTTCAAATCCCCAATGAATTCCCTCATCTCTACCTGTGATCATCACAAGAACCTTATGACTAGGTTATTGCCAAGGACACAGCAGCTGATGCCTGATAAAGCATACAAACAAGTAGTTTGGCAAATGCAGAATTCAGATGGTGTAGAACATGGCAGTCCTGAAATTTTGTTTACCCAAGAAGGAAGCAGATAAAGCATGACTTACAGCCTTGTTTGAATTGTTGGAATCAATCCGGTAGTTTAAGCTCTCTTTGGGTTCTACATAATTGAAAGACATCTTTGAGGACACAATACGCAAGCTTGGTTTCAAGAATTCTTGTGACTCGTACTTAGACCTACACAACAAAAGAAAATGCTTGTGCATGAGCACTTATTTTGCTTACATACAGTATTCACTCTGGTAAAGACACCACCTGATGAATTTGCTGCGCTCCTCATAACTTGAGTTTGACTTGGGTTTTGGAAACCGCTTGGGAAGAAAAGCCTCATAGATTGAATTAGCATAAGAGTTCCCACCAACCTCAATCATGGATTCAATGTCAGCATCAGACCATTCATCTAATGTCACTGACAGAACCTGAATGTTACAGCAGTGAAGGAAAAAAATAAATCATTAATCATTCATTACAAAATTCTTCAAATTCAAGGTAATATATCCACAACTCCTGAGAGAAGGAAATAAGCATCTCACAGGACTTAAATTGTGGATGGTTCCAGGTCATTTATAATTTGTCCCTTGGAACTATATTTCTCTTTGAACCTGGATCCAAGCTCTAGACTATACTTCTAGGTCGTATTTCTGTTCAACTAATCAGCTATATACTAATTGAATTTAAAATTTTATTTAAAAAGACTAAAATGTGATTAGTAGAAAGCAGCACATTTTTCATCTCAAGTAATTGGAATTCAACAGTAAATAGGCATTATGTTTAACATAGGCTGCCTTTAGATAACAAGAAAACTCTCATTGTTTTTTATTTGGGGAAACCCCTGCTTTCATGTAAAGTATAATACTATTCAATTTTTTGCCTCAGATGAAAATGCGTTGCTGGTTAACTTTCATCAAAGCAAGTAAATGAAACTCGGTTTACCAGATCTAATCGGTCCAATGCTCAAAATGCCCTAGGTTAAACTGAAAAGCTCCCAATACCCCTCGAATGCCCTAGCTCCCAGTACCAGTCCACTGCCCTGAAGGCTCATCTGCCACCTAAAATTTAAACCTGCAGGACCATCATCTCATGTTTTCTCCTAGACAAAGAAGCCTCGGTCCACCACCTTGGTGGCCCACCAGCAGAGAAAACAATAATAAGAGCAACATAGATAAGGTCTTGTTAGCTCCTGATTCTAGGTGCAACATAAGAGACCACAAATGTATTAAATTTATTTTATAAAATAACATAATATACCATCTTCCAACATCACCTTCATGTCCCACAGTTTGAGTAACATAGAAGCAACCTAAACAGTAAAAAAAATTGCCAGTTTTGCTAAAGGATTGAGGATCAAAACACCATCGGGAGATGGCATAAGGGAAGACAAAGGGAAAACTGCCACAGAGGAAGAATGTGAAGTGCAATAAGTATCTGATGTCGGTTGGAAGAAACAGAGAGTGATGGTGATGGTTACTTAAAGCAGTTCCTACACTACATACTTGGACTAGTAAAATTAAATAAAACTGTAACTTAATATAAGGTGGGGACCTTACGGTAATAAAGCGATAATGTGAATTTATAGCACAATTTTCTCTTAGTCCTTGCTTAGCACAATTTTCTCTTTTAAGTTAATAAACACATGAACCTAACCAAATGTCAGTCCTGACAACTTGAGTGTTACCTTTGAAATGTCTGTCCCAAGACTTCTATGAATGTCACTACACTTCAGACATATAAAAACCCCAATGTTAGCTGACCTGCAATGACAAGTGAATGATCATTCAAAAATAATCATAAATTCAAAGTAAAATTCTAGATTTTTCATAAAATATAGTGCTTAACAAAGTAGTAGATATTTCAAACTTGACACAAACTCCTAAACATTTGTTAAATAAAAATTGAAAAATAAATATTAAATTTACAAAAAGCAGCTAGTTCAAAGTCCAATAGAAAGCGATTAGCCTGATGTGGAACAATTCATGTGAAAATAGTTAAATTAATATGGTAAATTTTCAGTTGACAAGAAACAAATATGCAGAGGCCACCGACAATAGTGGTCAGACCTATCTTATTGTTGTCTTTAATGCATCCTAGAACATGAAACTCCTAATTATTCTTAACGTATAACAAGAAAATAATATTCTAGCAAAAGTTTCTTTATCGAGTTCATACTATAAACCATTCTCCAACTACGAACAAGCAGTCAGCAACATTACATAGTAGTTAGAGTAAGAAATAAAATGACATGAACTAGTTGCTGTCTCATAATTACAAATCCTTGATGTTCTTCAATACAAAGTTCCATATTTGGTAAAGTTCTTATCAGATTATGATGTAGCATGCTGTCTTATACACCTCAAAAAAATCAGCACACACTGTCATCTGCGTTGGACAGAGGTTATTGTTGGATGCTTCCAGATATGGGTCATATACCTACAAAAGTATTTGGAAACATGTACTATCTATAATTGTGCTGATCTATGGTAGACAAATAAGACACTTACATATTCTGTCTGGTGCTCCTCAACATATTGAACATCGGTGAGTGGTTATTTATATGAGACTTGGTGTTTATAATATTATGATTGTGAATATCTCCCTGAGGTTCACTTACTATATTGGTGGTGATGAATCTAAATGGTCATTATCCCTTCACGATGCTCCTTCTATATAATTCTTGATGGAGTTTATCATGCATGCTCTTTTCTCCATTTGCTGAAAAATCGCAGTAATCCTTCACTCCATAAAAATGTGAGTCTCTCTTCAACTCCTGCCCTTCCATTAGGAACATAGGAAAAGACTTATACAGAATTACAATATCTTTCCGTGCCTCAATCAATGACAACTCTTTGAGTTTAAGGTTCAGATTTTAGCAAGTTACTAACTTGCCTTTAGTTGGCTATCTCACGGAATACATGGCTGACAAGAAAGAAACCCACTTTTGTAGTTAGCACAATTCAGAAGACAAACTTAAAATGAAGATATTCTACTTTCTTTATCCTTTTGAGTTTTGAGTTGATGCTTATGCTGCTAGATGTGCACGCTTGTTGATTTTGGTGTTAAACAAGTTCTGCTTTGGCAGCCACCTTCACTATCACCATTGAATTTTTATTCTTTCTTTTGCCTTTTGTTTTATATTTTATTCATCTTCAAATAGATTTCATGTGTCTCTTTGATCCACTTTCCCCTTGAACAAAGAACATCGCCTTTGTATTTTCATGTGATAGATTGTCATGCTTTTTAAACATATAAGATGATGACAGATTGTATGCAACTCTTAACAATATATAGGAAAAAACGTGTTGTATAGTTGTCGTGTCTTCCCTTTCCCCTAAAGAACTAATAGATACCACGTCTTGCCATACTTTGTAACATTTAGCATGCCAGTATATCCAGTCTGTATCCCATGTGTGTGTCCATGCCACATAGATGATTCTCTGTTCTCTTAGTTTCATTCAGGGCTTCTTAGATATTCTTGGTGGGCCAGGAACCCAGCTATCTGTAAAGAGTCTCACATGCTTATCCATAATCATAACCTCAATCAATTAATTGACAGATTATACCAATGCATTCAAACAGCAAGTACAAAAAACAGAAACAAAAAGAAGTTCCAGGCACAGTTGATCATAAATAGTGACCACTTCTAAAGACAACTATAATTGATTATCCCATACTAAAAATTTAATTAACATAATAAACTTGTGACTTGCATATTCTAGATTTTAGATAACCAAATTTACTACTTACTGCAATACATCCATGGTGAAGCTTAAGTTTTTGCAAACATGATAAATAGCAGTACTTACGCCCATTTTGGATCTTGAGCACCACAGTCAGCACAAATGCGATTGTCACTCTTGAGCATAAGCTCCTTCAATTTCCTCATTTGACCTGTTATAATGAGGCACTTTAAATGGAAGCTAGCTTCTGGTTCAAGTATAACATAAAATACATTTTAAAATTCTCGAAGTCATGACTATCATGCTTTTATATAATCATGTGCACAATATTCTACATGAATGAGACATTTTTTGCATGCACTTTAGCATTATAGAGCTACATCACTTGTTCTGCAACTATATATTTGGGCTGTAAGTGCACATCCATGTTTGACAATAACTTCTAGTGAGGTATAATGTAGAGACAACTCCTAAAAGAGCATCAATCAAATTCTACATAGCTAATACTTACCACTATAAGCAATAAAACATAAAATAAGGATGCATAAAAAGCAAGAAAGACAGAAAACAAAACAAATAAAACATCAACACCATGTCAAATTGCCTAAGCCAACGAGTTAAACTTTGACTCTTTAAAAGTAAAATTTGCACTGTAAATGGTGATGCACAAAAAGAATGTAAAATGCTACAAGTTTGTTATCCTGTTTTCTCTAATCAGACTCCTCGAATTACATTCCCCATCTTTTTAGAATAATCTGATATTCAAATAAACCAAAGGTCATCAAAATTGCACTCGACATATAAGCATGTAATTCACATTTTCAAGTTCACCATCAAACCTCATACCAGAAGGCACTTATGCATATTCCCACATAAATAGAGTAATACAAAATTTGCTGCCCACCTACCTGATTGTCAATTGTGACAAGCAGCAGAACAGTGAATTGCCCTTATTCCAAAAAGGCATACAATTTCCCCACTTACATAAAGTTATCCTAACGAAAACACATGTTACTTGGTATTAAAGAAGTTAGACAAAATAGATTCAACCTTTAAGGTTCTTTTTATTCTTTGTGAAAAAAAGAAAAAAAAATAACACCAGTTATGTGTCACTGATGAGTAACAAATGGCACGGAATATCTTTATATAAACCTGAGGCAGGCTTTTCAGGTCTGTGGTAGCCGTTGCTCATTTCCACCTTGCAAGAGATAAAGTTTAACACCAAAGCCAATCTTTATCCACAACGTCAAAGTACCAAAAGCAACAAACAGTTCGACCTGATACAATATAAAATCGTATACACAATAACTCAGCTTTCAGAAGCAAACATATTTCCTTATAAGAATCAAGAACAAATGGTGTATGGACAAAATAAAAGCGTATGATAACATAATGTACACAGTACACAGTAGTAACATAAATTAGTATAAACCCAAAGCCATCGAATTGAATAATCTTAGTAGTTCATAGTAACAGGAAAACAACATAACAGTATGAATGAAATCTCCGAAAATTTTCATTGATAGGATAAATTCCGAAACGCATGTCGATGTAGACATACATGATCATGTTCTCTCCATCCTTAAAAATCAATTATTAATCTTTCCTTCCCTCAAAATTATTTCCTATCGGACTTAACAACTAATTACCAAACGAAACAAAAAAAAGTCAGACTCTTGATTGCAGGACAATTTTCCCTCCTCACGAAGAACAAAAAGGTCAAAATTTGGAGATTTTACCGTCTTTTCGCCCAAGAAAAACAAGATTGCGGAAGAAAGGCTTTAGCAAACGGAATCAGAATACACGGGATTAGGCGGTGAAAAACAGATTGGATCTTCAATGTACCAAAGATTGGCTAGACAAATCAGAAACCCACACACAGAACGAACGCCAGGTCGGATCAATTCATACAAGAGAGTCAGACTTACCCCCGGATTCGAGCCCCGATTGGGCGAAATCTTCAACGAAGAATGCTTTCAAGGGACGCAATGTTTTGGGCCTCGTCGCATCGGCATTTATTGGTTCGAGAAGGTTTTCTCGGGGACGGAGGTTACAACCTTCCGTGCCTTTTTATATCGAACGGTTCTGATGCACCGACTAGATCTTGCATGGAAATCAACCCGGGCCCGGTTCGCGTCCATAACCACATAAACCAACCCGAGCGGCCAAACGAATTCGACCGCTTTCAACCGCTCCCTCTCTCTCTCTCTCTCTCCTCCCTCCTCTC